CAAATAAGTAATTCTGCGTTATTGCAAACACGAAATTTCTGAGTGCACGTTTACTATCACGTACTATGATAGGAAACAACTGGAGAAAATCCCAATAAGGAAAACAAAATTTAAATTAATAAGAATTCCTATTTTTTGTCCATCAGTTTCCTTACTTTGTGTCTCCAAAATCAGCAAATTGATCCCCAAATTACACAAATAAATAAATAAAATATTTTTGAAGGAAAAAAAAAAAATCTTTGAAGGATTACGATAAGGTAATATATTTTCATTAAGAAATTTAAAAGGGATAAAAGATGAATGGTTGATTAAAATTTGAATGATGTATACTCACGAGTAGGTGGATGAGTTGACAAGGGACTCTTCTAGTTTAACCAGAAGTCTTGATTTCAAGTAATAGGAATGTAGTTTTGTTAAAACTCGTGAGGGAGAGTTTTATCGCACGTTGAGTCCTACCCTGCTCGAACCCGGATTAGTCGATGGCTCAATGGGCTTCTAAATACCAGGTGGTTCATACAAAAAAAAAAAAAAAAGTTTGGAAGAAAGTTGATTTTAAAAAATTGCAATTGTAATAAAATTTACTTATAAATGGATTCACAAAAAACTCTAATTTGGGTAGGGGTAAAATGGTAATTTTTCAAAAAAATTTAGTTCGCAGAGTAAAGTTAAAGTGATATTTAAGTCAAATATCATATTTTAAATAAAAAAATGCATATTAATCCTAATTCTCATAAAAGAAATTAGTGTTCTAACTTTAAAAATACTACTCTTTAATGAATATTTTTAAAACCAACTATTAAATTTAATGTTCGCTTGATGTGGATTGTTGCGTTTGGAATTGTTGTGAAGTGTCATGGTTATAACTGTAACTGTGATTGTGGTTATGCCGAATTGTATTGTGTTATAATTGTGGTTAAAAATTATTTTGATATTTAGTTATTTATTTTTAAAAAGTATTATAAATGAAATATGATATATTTTATTAATTATTTATTAAAATTTTAAAAATATTGTAAGATATATAATTATTAAAATAGATAATATTTACTAATTTTCAATAGTTTAAAATTTTAAATTTGTTATAATTGTTAAAATATTATAAATTATGATGTAATTAAATTGGATAAAGCTACATTTACCCTCTGTTACACCCTCCATTACACACACCCATCTCCGTTACTTTGTCGTTAACGTCCAAACGCACCTAGCCCTTTCTTTCTCTTTTCTCCTTTCCTATCTCGGTAGTTCCAATCGATTCGCGGACATCTCCGATCATTCCCCTATTTTCTCAAATGGTCCATCGCTGCCATGATGCTTTCCCATTTTTCGTGGGTCGCTAGACAGTCGGATATCTGAGGAAGAAGATTGTGCAAGAGCAAGAGCAAAGACAAAGCAATCATCAAT